ACATTGATATTATGACTGTTTAGTAATCTTAGGTTTTGAAAAATGTCTTTATTTCTTTATACTTATTATTGGAGTGAAGGATTACTTTGGCCTCTGATATAAAGCTGTCATGGACTTTAGCAAGAACCTGAGGAGCATATAGCTGGAGTTGTAGACTGATGCAGTTATTTGGTTTCACTGACCCTGCATTATAATCGACTTCTGTCTTTCGAAGTTGCATTTCACTGGGGTGGTGTTCAGTGCAAATTCAGAAAGTAAATTCTTGCAACACTAGAATCACAAGGATAATCCTCAGGGATGATTTGGAAAGATCAAGTCTTGAAATCAAGGGCAGCACCTCAAAGTTTCATCCTAGTCAGTGCCTGCAGCGTGTCTGCTGCACAGTGTGTTTGCAGTGTTACTCTTCACCAAGTGTTCTCATAGAAAAATCCTGTAATAAGGTGTGGAATGGAATTCCTTTTGGTTATATGTAGTTTTAAAGTTGTCATTAGAAGGAAGGTGGCTGGAAGACAAGGGCAAGAGGGACGGGGCAGAGCAAAGGACTGCCTCTTGGGTGAGATTCATAGGGGTGAAGTGTAGATCCCACACAGCAATGTGGAAAACACTGCTTGGCTGCCACTGCTGATCTGATTTATAATTAACGAGCTGTCATTTACACAAAAAGTAGATGGACTCCCCTGAAATAACTCAGGTGTAGCTCCCTGAAAGCTTAACACTTGATGAGAATGCAGCGTATCCTTCAAGCCTCCTACCTTGAGGAGTTACCTGATGTTCCCACAGAGGCTGCTTTTCCTCCCCTCACCAAATGCAGGGTTTGAATTGAAATTGTTACTGTTAATTGGAGCTGAGATGATTGCAGTGCCACCCCATCGGGCTGCAGCAGCCCCCCTGCTTGCTGCCATCACTGCAGGAGGCTGTTCAGCATGGGCGGCTCTGCTCCGCCGCGGCACGTACGGTGGCACCGGGTTGATTAATGTGCTCAATGGAAACAAAACAAATGGAAATTTTTTTAGATTATACAGTACACTCATAAATATTAATGCGCTTTTGTATTGAATTGCATGCAATTACATATTTATACATTTAAGTCACCTTCCTGATACACTTAAGGCACTTTACTGATGGTAGATATCTCTGAATAAGATGGTTTTAAACCATGCCTAATATGTTTGTAGGATTTATTTAATAATGTGTGGGCTTGTTTGCTGGCAGGAGAGGAGAAAAACCTCCATTAAAGTCTGAATGTGTTGTTCACAGAGTCTGCTACTTAGGTTGAATTGACGCCATGGGTAGCTGCTGAAAAATACGTCTCAACATGAAATATTGCTGCATCTCCTTATCTATGTAGATAAGGTCTGTGCAGTCCTGTCACCTTAGAGTAATTACAACTTATTACTCTAATCATGATGATGTCTGAAGTCTGTAATTAAGATTGTGCTGGCTAATGTACTAGCACACGGCATGGTACAGCTATTGTCCTGTCTAAACAACAGAAAGATAAAAATTGGATGAGGGAGAAAGGGCAGAAAGGGGGAAAGTGATTTATGCAGGGCCATGGTTCCCAGCCAAGCACCACCTCTGCTGAAGCCAACAGCTTCCAAGAGCACAGAATCCATGTGTGTCCTCCACAGCCTCGTGCATGCCACTGTTCTGACAGCATGTCCAAAACAGTCCTGGGCAGTTTGCACCCTCAAATGTGTATATTCACTTCCCTGTGTGATCATAGAATGGTTTGAGTTGGAAGGGACCTTATTTGTCATCTAGTTCAAATCCCCCTGTATGGGCAGAGATACCTCCCACCAGCCCAGGTTGCTCCAAGCCCCATCCAACATGCCCTTCAACACTTCCAGGGATGGGGCAGCCACAGCTTTTCTGGGCAACCTGGGCCAGTGTCTCACCACCCTCATAGTGAAAAATTTCCTCCTAATCTCTAATTTAAACCTCACCTCTTCCAGTTTTAATCCATTCCCCCCTGTCCTGTCCCTCCCTGCCCTTGTCTGAAGCCCCTCCCCAGCTTTCCTGGAGCCCCTTCAAGCACTGGAAGGTGCTCTAAGGTCTCCCTGGAGCTTTCTCTTCTCCAGGCTGAACAGCCCAGACTGTCTGTCTTCATAGCAGAGCTGCTCGAGCCCTCAGATCCTCTTTGTGGCCTTTCTCTGGACTCTCTCGAGTGGCTTCATGTCTTTCTTATGGTCGGGGCTCCTGGACTGGACACAGTACTGCAGGTTGGGGTCACATGAGAGCCAAGTAGAGGGGGAGAACCACCTCCCTTGACCTGATCTCTATTCAAGTTAGTTTTAATGCATCCTGTCCACCTGTGTCTAAGCTTTTATTCATTTAACATGTCCTTTTGCTGTCCAGTCTGCAGATGAAGGATTTAATATCTGTATTTCTTTATACATATGTAGTTTAAGCACAAATCAATATCTGTTGAAAGCAATGGGAGGTTCTACCATACAATTCAATAACTCAGGGTTTTGACCCACAGCACTCTATAATTTTCTCTGCAGCAAAGTCAGCTGGTGAAAAGCAGACTGCTGTTTCTCCAGGAATACATTGTCTAAACACCAGTCTTTGTCTAATTTTTATAGTAAGCCCACCCACCAAGCTGGATTTAAGGCCCACTTTTACAATTTGCAGAATTGCAAGTTATGTATATGTGCAGCTCCCTTTCCTTCCTTGGTCATGAGCAAAAGAGGCACCTTATTTTTGGAGATTCCTGCGAGTTGTTCCTTCTGTACTGGAAGGTCCATTTTCAGAGCATTTGCAGAGGGCTTTCGTGAAGCTGCTGTCACTCATCTTTGCTGTAGGTATTCACACAGATTCTTTCATCCCACTTAAGAGAGGAAATAAATTTTGCTTTAGGTGTATCTTGACAATTCATGAAACTTTACACAGTTCCCCAGAACCTGGGATTCTTATGGAGGAGGTTATCCCAGGTACACCCATAGTGACCCACCTTACATCCTCTCTAAAGCTAATGGGAGCCAGTAATTTCTTGATGGCAGTGCTAGATATTTTATAATTTTCTGGAAGCCTGCCTCTCTTTAATTTAGATCCCTAGCTGAAAGAAGAAGAAAATAAATATCCACAAAAGCTATTTAGTCATTAAAAGACAGTTTATTTTTTTTGCAGAAGGTTTCCCTTTCTTCACTCCTTCAACCTTTCACATTTAGAGTGATTCCTCTTAATAGCATTTCTATCTAAAAATAAGAGCTCTTGTTTTTTAACAAAAGTCCTTTGCTGGCATAATGTGCTGTCCATAAAGCACTATATGTGTTTTTTTATATACTGATCCAAAAAAGTGAAAATTTTGTGATTATAATTATTTTACAGCACAAATCTGTTCTATGATAAAATATCTCATTGTTTCAATAGAGAGCATTGAACAAGTTGTAATTCTGGTGCTCCTCTGCTGTGTTGGGGTTAACTGTGGGAATCCCAGTGTTACTTGTTTTTTCATTTTATTTCAAAGTGAAGCCAAACAGAGCTGGGTGTGGGAATGTGAGGTGCTCTGTGATTGTTATCCAGGACCTCAGTGCGGATTTGTAGTTGCTGGAATTGCTATTTTATGAAGCTATTAATGATGAGAATTGGTGAAATAGTAACTAATATGACACCTGAGAATTTGCCTTTGTGAAGGTGTGCTGAGAAATATGATCCTTCTTGCTTAATTTTTCCTTGGCCCTGCTCTGAAGGATCTCTCAGCTTGCACACAGGGCTTTCACAAGTGGATCTCAAAGCATGTTATGGCAATTTGTGCTACTCCTGACTGTTTTAATAGCTGAAGGAACCAGGGAAGAGGAACAGGACATTCCTAAAATACTGATCTCGCTTTACAGCTGAGGATGCTAAAGATTTCTTTCATGAGCTTGGATGATATCTTAGGTGAAGCAAAGGCAGAAAAAGTGTCTTACAGCTTCTGTTCTGTGCTCCCTTCTTTAATGCTTTAAAAATAATTCTTTTTACCAAATCTATAATTTATCTGTTGACTGCCTTCAGTTAAATTAATGTTCTCATTGCTTCCAGTTATGCATTTTGTGAAGCTCTTGTGTTTTAGATAGGCATTTAGGGAGTGTTCTGTAATTAAAGCCAAACTGATTTTTGCCTTTAGGCATGGTAGTTTTTACATTAAATGTGCCATAATTTGAATTATATTCTTCTAAATCTGGGTCTTTTTGTGACACAGGGACCAACAGCCCAATTTCATTCCTGCTTTTTATGAAATGACAGTGGAAAGAAGCATGATGGCTTACAGGCTCTTACAGTACTTGCTGGTAGGGCATGGAGAGCTTTTATTCAAAGAAGTCAGGCATGTTAGTAGAGTATGCTTGAAGTATGACACTACTTCAGTGATTCACCTCTTGTAGGGAAGTACTGTTCTTGGAGTAGATGTGGTTTCTCCAGTTGTATCAGGTACATAATATGCATTGTAATTTATACTTTGCCAATAGCTTCTAATTAATTTCTCCCAGTGACCATCCAGCCTCTTCTTCCTCTGCCTTTAGTTTTGTGTTACTGGAGATATTTTCTTTGCAGTAACATTTATTTGAAACAAAAATATGAATTCTCTGTGTTGCAGGATGTCAGCAGGAAAGTACAGTAGCTGTAGGCAAAGTGACAAAACTTGTGGCTTTTTTACAAGACTCAAGTGTTTTTTATGGACAGACATTCTGGGCTTTAAAGAAGGGGCAGTAACAAAGTTTTCAAATATATGCACTTTTCCCACCCCGCCCCCCCTTTTGCTTTCCTCACCCCCCTGAGATTTGGAAACTGTCCACCTAGGTCAGGCTTCAGGGAAATGTCCACTGAAGTCAGCTGAGATTCATTGGCTTTAATTGGATTTAGGTCAACTCTTGCCTTGTCCTGTCAAGTCCAAGCAGTAATAAATGGTCAAAGCCAGGCCTTGTTTAAATCAAAGACAGTTATTAATTTAAACATTATAAACATATGCTGTCTTCTAAATGCATGCTTACTTGATACATGAGATGTGTTGGAGAATGATGGGGTTGACGGTATAAAATGTAAAGGAGCTTGTGTCTGCTTCTGTGCACTCATTTCATCTCACAGATTTTATTTTGCATTTTCCTGTCTTTTTCCTTGGTGGACACCAGTGCAGACTGCTTTATCCTTGTCTGCTGACTGTAGCATTGCTTTGGGAATGCGCTGCTGGTCACCTACAATTGCTGCTTAAAGAGACTGACCAAATCAGAGCCATGTCTTAACCACAGTGTTTTTCTTCTCTTCCTTTTCTACAGAAGGATGTAGCTCTGAAACCTCAGGAACGCGTGGAGAAGCGACAGAACCCTCTGGCCAAGAAGAAACGGGAAGCACTTACTAATGGGCTGTCATATCTTCCAAAAAAGAACAGATTTCACCACCACCAGTACAGCTCCGACCGAGAGAATGATCGTAATCTTTGCCAGCACCTTGGGAAGAGGAAGAAAATACCGAAGGGCCTCAGACAGGTGGGAGACAAGTTCACTGTTGTGGGGGAGGGCTTTGGCTGTTGGCACATGCTGTATGAAAGTGGATTTCTCATTTTGTGGGATCACTTATTTTAGCCCCTTTGTAGTTGTTTTTTTTATTGGGCTTTTGGGTGCTGCTTGGTACTGTGTCATGGTACTAGAAGAGACTGAGCAAGAAAGCAGGTGGCGTAGTGATGCTAGAGCTGAGTCAATAGATGTTCAAAGGTTTCCTTAGGCTGGCTGTGAGACTGATGAGGCAAACAACTGTGGTCTCTCTGTTACACTGTTAGGCCATCCTTGTGCTGTAAATGTTTTCTTTAGACTTTGTGCAGAGGAGTACAAGTCCCACTTGAACATCAAAGGCAAGGTGAGCTGACGGTGAGAGGGGCAGCTGACAAAGACTGATGATGGTGCTAGGAGCTCTTTGTAGGTTGTTGGCGGTACTGGTGTGTGCTCTTCTGGGTAAGTCATCACCTACCCATGAGTGAGAACCTCCTACCTTCCCAGCACTGGTGTTCCCTTCCTGCAGTAGCTCTGGCAGGCATGTGACAAAAGGCAGTGGATGGCATCCAGGGAGCAAAGCTTGAGGCTGGAAATCTTGGACTGTACAGTGTTGTGTTTCTTGTTTTGAAAAAATAAGAAAGCGTGACAAGTGTGATTTCTCTGATGAGCAGGATGGAGAGAAAAGAGCCTTGTTTTTTGTCAATAAATATACCCTGTGTGTTTGTTGTTAAAAAAATATAAAATACAGCTGGGCATTTTAAGTATAGCACGTGCCTCTGTGGTCATTTGGCTAATTGTCTGTGAAAACTCAAGTCTAAAGTATTAATAGAGATTAGCTTGACCTAAATTTGAGTGGTATTAATGACTTTAACCACAATGTATATGTTTAATGGAGATGGTTGATACTCACTGAATGAGTTTTCATCCTTGTTTGTTGTGAGCCAAACATTGCTTTGCAGAAAAACTTTTAGAAAATAATGAGAATTCACTGCTTTTCATTTTGTGAGCTCAGGGAAATTGAAGGAACATTGAGGTTGACAGGAACATTGACTTGTATTTATTTTGATATTCAGAGTAACAGAAGCTGGTGAAAAATGTTTTCCTTGTATTTTTAAGCCTGTACTGTATATAGAAATAAGGGATTATACAGTGTTTCAGCAAAGCAAATTGTAAAATGCTTATTCTACACTTCACACCCATTAAAGGTATTTCTTCTAATTTACTTTGTGTTTCAAAGTTGTGTGTGGGGAACTCTTAAGGATAATTGATACAATAGTTATAAGTAGATAATTGAAGGTTGCTGTGTTTCTGTGACTGTTTTCTCTGTTCATCTGTGTGGCCTTCACCCTGTTCCTTTTTAGTGTGTCAAATGATAAATGTAGATGCTTTATGCAGTAGGATTTGCCTAAATAAAAGCTGACTTTCTGCTCTCTTTGATTCCCCTGGCATAGCCTCCTGCCAGGTGAAACCTTTCTGCTGGTACTTAAGTGAAGGAATCAGCCTCACTGCTGATGGAGATTATTTGTGAGGTTGTGTTTTTAAGCATAAATATACACTGGCTTGGAAGGTGTTGAGTTGACAAATGTAATGGAAAATGGTTTTCCTTTTAGCTGATAAATCTGAGTACTCTGCTTAATTCCTGAGGGATAAGGCTGAGAGGAAATAAAATATCTTGCTCAATATAAATGTAATACATTTGGTAGGGGTATAGCTCCTTAGATAAGAACATTTTAGTCTCATGAACAGTTTAGGTGCTGACAAATCCAAGTGGCTTTGGCACTTAGAGATGTGGAAAAAAAGATGTCATGGAAAAGACTATAAAGCTTATTTGAAAAGACATCCCCGCAGCCTTTATAGACAGTATTTCTGGAAAGCACTTTCTGTTTTCTTTCAAGACAAGTGGTGGAGACTTAAAAAAAAAAAAGGAGGAAAATGCTAAGTTTTGAGGAGGTTTTCTCTGAGAATGTAGCACTTTTCCTCTCGAGTGACTTGGTTGCACAGCTTGGGTTTGTTCCCCTATACAGATCCATCCCATGGAATTCCTGGACTCTTGAATGGAAAGTAAAATTGCTTGTCACCCTTCTCAGATGACAACAATTCAAGAATTGGGCCCGCTGGTGTTTGTAGGAAAGTACAAAGCCAATTTGGGTTTAGTATTTTGGATATGTGTGGTGACCTTGCCATGTTAGGGCTATATATTGTATATGTAACCAATGTATCTTGCCCCTGTTGTCCCTGGAGGAATTCTGAATAGTGATATGTGAGTATTATAATTGGATGGCAGGGTGCAATCTCAGTGCATTCCACTGTTGCCATAAGACCTTGGCTGCAGTCTTTCCCTTTTGGGAAATGTTTTATAGCTGGAGGTCTTGTTCATTGTTTTACTAGTAGTTAACAGTCCTGACTGATCGGCCTTCCTGTGAAATCTGTTGCCTGCTGGAAGTAACTCTCTCATGAAGGATTTACACAGTGAAGCTTCCTCGTCAAACAGATTTAGTTGAAGTCAGCTATTGGAGGGACTGCTAATTAGTTTTCGGAGAAAATCCTTGCAGTATTCATGCAGGTATTTATGGTAAAATGCCTTCAGGTTTATTGAAATTCAGAAAATGTGAAACTGTAGGTTAATTAAGGCTCATATTTTACTAGTGAGAAGACTTTTGAACTCTGCTTTGTGAGCTTTTGTAAGTGTACTTATTAAATGCCTCAAGGAAACTTTAGTTGGCGTTAAGCAAACATAAGACTCATCACAATAGTTCACCAGCCTTTAAATTGAATTTCCTTTATGTTAATTGGTGATGGCATGTTTTTGTGTGTTTTCTGTAAAAAAAAAAATTGATACCTCAAAGTGAGCATTTTTAAACTAGTAAAAGAGTGGCAGAATTTTTTTGAGTGTTCATTCCTCATGATTCAAGGAGATTGGGGCATATGAGGAAACAATGAGTTTTCATTGCAGGAGTGTTGAGATTATTTTGGTAGTGAGAGGGAAGAATAATTTCTCTTCATTCAGTGAGTGTGTGTTTTGGAAAGAGCAGAAGACACTGACTTTTGCTACCTCTACCATTTGCTGCATTGTTTTCTTTATTTGCTGGGAGATTCATATGCCTGTCTTGCAGCAAAGTAAGCTTTGGCACATGCTTGTACACCAGCAATCCCTGTGCTGGGCAAGTGGTGTATTAGATGGTTTATGTATATACAAGAGCCACCTGCTGCTGGGCTCTGCTTTGACTGCCTGATTCCAAAGACACTTGCAGAATATCAAATCCCAGATAGAGTGTGAGTGCAAGGAATGAGGTGGACGGGTAATATCAATAAGGGGTAGATAATGAAAAAAGGGAAGAAAACTCATGATGGAGAGATCAATTAGGAGGCAAATTTTTATGAGATAAAGGAAAAATGGGAAGAACAGCAAAATGATACACCACTGCCTCTGGCAGTCATCAACTAGAAGCATTAGAAACTATTAGCTTTAACCTTGTAGTCTGTTGCATCAATCAATTAAAGGGGAGGGAAGTATTGAAGCTTTTCCTTCTCAGAATTAAGTCCACGATCTCCTTGGCAGTCTTGCCCTGAATCTATACATCTCAGATTTGAGAGTGCCTAGACTTTTGGTGGTTCATCTGGATGCCAGTCTTGTCCCCTGTCATTGTCACATGCAAACATGGTGTGGTTAATTGTGCTGCAGATACAGTTCCAGCTGGTCTGTTCTCTGGTGCAGAGGTGTTGGTGCTGTGCAGGAACCCTCTGGTGCGGGGGGTGAAATTACCAGGCTGTGATCTGCATTTAATCACTCTTGCTGTCAGGAATGGCTTTTGCATGCTTTTAGACAAGCCTGTACATGACAGGTAATGCAAGCAGAGCGGGAGGTGGGTGTTAGCTGTATGGTTTGTGGTGACACTGGTCGGGGAGCTGAGCAGATGGGTTTGATTGTCACTGGCAGTGTGATTCCAGGGAGAGCTGAGTGTGGTGACAAGCGATTTACAATGTGCTATTTACAGTTTGGGTTTGCAGTCTCTCAATGACATCTGAGTGCTCTTTAGCAACTGCTTTCATTACTGCTTTTCTAGGAGTTGTTAATTGAAAATGAAATTGTGGGTGGGCTTTGGGAGTGCAACAGCAGCAACAAGTATTATATGCAACCATGGAGAACAGTTTAATTTCTTTGACTCCCAACTTGTAGCTCTGTGCAGTGGCAAGGGAAAAAAAAACATGTATATATTTGAGCAGTCTGAGGTTAGACACCTTTGAAATACTGCATACAATGTGCATACACCTGTAATGAGTGATAAAGGCTTGAATCTCCTTTTATATAGCTGCTGGGATTTGGGATTACTTCACTGGCAGCCAGTGGATTTTGGTGACTGTAAAACCGCTGAAGATCAGGAAGGAACCTTGCTCATGAAAATAGCTCAGGCAGGACAACAGAGGGGTTTGCAAGTTGTGCTGGTGGTGTTGGGGCTGGTTTTACACTGTTGGAGGTCTGGCTCTTTTAACTGGAGTTAAAAGAGATGTTGCTACCAACTCCTAGAGAATAGGACAAACTTGCACACCTAAGAGGAGAAGCACCAGCTTCATCAGGTCAGCAATGTTATTACAATGCTTACTGGAAATTCAGATGGTGTTTCTTTCCATTATGTTTTTAAAGAGAAATGTTTATATATATTTTATTTCAAAATGCTAATGCAACTACCTTACAATTTGTAATTTTGCTGGTTGTTTTGCAGGCTACACGGTTTGATGTGTGCAAGTGTTGCCAAAAGGTTAAAATAACTGAAAGCAAGTGTTGCAAGCAACAGGGCTTTGCAGTGGGCACTGATTTGATGAAGCTGCTTTGTATTGGTATTGTGGGCATTGTTTATTTGCATTTCTTTGTCAACTTGCCATAATAACAGCATTGGATTTGAAACATGAACTAAGAAAAAAAAAAAATCAGATTACAGCACAGGAAGTGTAGAAGTGGCCATATACAGGTAACTGTGCTTTGAGTTTACATACAGTAT